TAGGCTATCATGTATCTTTTGATACATGACTGACTAAGCAGATTCCTCACCCACCACAGTAGGTTGCCATTTCTTTCTGCGGTAGACCAGTTGCTATCCACGGCTATAGAACCCGGTCTGTCCTGCTATTTACTCATAGCTGGGGGAGAAAAGGATTCATACTTTTCCCAAGGGTATTAGCATGTAAATGAATGTAATGGATTTGACTGAAATTCAAACTCGGCTTCCATTTAATTAACTCAGTTATTAAATTAAAAATTTAATAATAACCGAGACAATAAATTTATTAATTATGTTATCAGAGTTATTACATTTTTAATTTAATAAAATATAATAATTATATTAATTATAATATTATCTCAGTTATTAACTTTTTAATCCAATAACTGAGATAATCTTAATTATTATAAAATGCAGATTTTTGTGTGTGTGTGTGTGTGTGTGTGTGTGTGTGTGTGTGTGTGTGTTCGTTTATATATGGGATCATATTTCCTACATTTTTCAACAAAACTTACTATTAAATGATGATGATGTTTAAATGAATAACAGATTGCATTTCTGTGATTTTTATTACTGGTTGTGCAGTTAGTTTTATCCATAAAATTTTCCCCTACCTTCCCTTACTGCAATATTCTCAAAAAAATCTAAAGTAGGATCTGTAATGTCATCGGTACTGAATTAGCTTCTTCACTTCAGCCGCTTTCTCACAGACGTGATGTGGCTTCCCTCTGTCTTTTCTACAAATATTTTCATGCCTACTGCACTGATGAGCATTTTTTCCCTGGTGCCCTGACTACATGAATTTAAGTGTACTACTAGATTGGCATCTAGGTCCCAACTTTTTACTGTTGAAATAGTTAAATGTAACCGCCCTTCTAACAGTTTCTTTCCTCGCACTTCTCCATATTGGAACTCCATTCCTCTCACTTGCTTCCCTGATAACTACAATCATCAAAAATCTAAATGCAACTTCAGTCACCATGTTTTGTTGTGTTGATACCTGTTCTTTTAACCTTTCTTCAATCCCCCCTACACCCACTCTTTTCTCTCATTTTCACTCTCCATAACCCCCTGTGTGATAATGACACTTCTGACTTGCTTGGGGTGAAATGCTTAAAAAAAAAAAAAAAAAAAAAAACCCCAAAACATTGAATATAAAATAATTAGGGTACTGACAAAAGCATCTAATGAAATAATTAGGGTACTGAAAATAGCATCTACCACAATCAAAGGTAAAGCTCTCCCTACCAACAGCTAAAATAATAAAAAAAGTGCTCCATACAATATATATCTATAAAAGGCAGGACGTGTGTGCGTGTGTGTGTGTGTGTGTGTGTGTAACAAATGCACGGCCGAAATTTGACGGATTTGCACCAAAATTTACATGCACATGCTCCAAGTTAGTGGTAAGGCCGAGAATGACTTTGCATTTCCCAACTCCCATCGATAGTGGAAAATCAATATTTTCAGGCTTCTATGGCAGTTTTCATGTAGTTTGCGGCCATTTTCTACTGAGTGAGAGCCTATAGCTAGCTGCCACGAATAGGCAGGAAGATTCTATTGGCCAGCTTGAGAGCCAACAGCTGACTGACACGAATGTTAACTAGCATGCAAAAAAAAAAAAAAAAAAAAAAAAAAAAAATCGACAGCTGCATTCGTCACAAGTGGTAAAAATTTAAATCTGCATGGCACTTTAATCCAATTGGCTCATTTGCTTGCTTAAACTCAATATTGATTCTGATTCCACAGAACTGGGTTGGGTGTGAAAAAGTATTTGTTGTTAACATTCTTTTTTCATTCGGTTCTTCCAGTTACAAGTCCTTTTTTAAAGCTGATTGTTTTGTGTTCATTTTGTTCAGTTCTTTTTTCGTAACAGATTTAATGTTTAGTATAGAGCTTAGAAAAAATCCGCAGTGTGAGATAGGCAAGAAGTAAGGCATGTAGCAACATCAGCACGGCAAAGGGCACTCCTTTAAAGGCAAGGAAGGGCAAAAATATCTTAAGTCAAGTGATAGCGATTGCTGTACGAGTCGTATGATTTTTGAATCAAGCACGGACAACGCCGGGCCATGCTGCTAGTATAATAATAAAATGCAATGATAGAGATAATTCAATTTGAAATTTTCTGCTATTTATGATTAATTTATATTCTTTTTAAGATCTTATTTTTTCATATTATTCTTTATAGTGTTATATCCTGATGGTTATGAAATGTTAAAGTTATTTTATTTATTAAATTTTTAAAGTACTTAAATTTTATTATTATTTAGAAAATCGTACACTTATTTTATTTAAGCATAATATGGAACCTCAAACAATAATATTAATATATTTAATACTGTATTTAAAAAAAAAAAAAAAAAAAAAAAAAAAAAAAAAAAAAAAAAAAAAAAAAAAAAAAAAAAAAAAAAAAAAAAAAAAAAAAAAAAAAAAAAAAAAAAAAAAATCAGGATAGGCCTATGTTTATCAGTTTAGCACAAAAACTCAATATATAAAGTTTTTAAGATAGATTAACAGTGTCAAGTAGTTTATGAATTATTTTGATCTCAAATGTAATTCTGGTAATTGGTCTGCATAAAGATATGAATACAAACTTCATTTATCAAAAGGTAGCATAAAATTACATCTTAAAATCACTCAGAATATCAGTGACATTTAACATGAAAACAGAATTCTAGAGGACTAGGATCAATTTCCCTCATGTATCATCATCTGGTATTGAAAAAGTATGAAAGAATAAAATTGTAACATGTCAGACCATTATGAAAAGCAAATGAAAATTAAAAAAAAAAAAAAAAAAAAAATACAAAAATTAATATTTGACAATTCTTACTTTAAATGATAAAATTAAGGAATTTATTTCTTACAGTGTTGGTATTCTTTTGAAATCTGATATTAGGACTAAACTGATAGAAAAGAAAATTTTAAACAAAAGCAAAAAGAATAAGTGAGATAAAATTGAATCACTTGAAATGACCCTCAATTCCATATTTATCCATTGAGCAATGTCTAAGTGATAAGTAAAATGTAAATCACAGTAACTGTTTAACCTTGCAAGTAAAGTTATTCCTCATCAGGTGATAATTTAAAATATAAAGAAAACATCTTGGCAAATTTGGGATTACAAAAACATGAACACACAGATTACAATATCCTAGCAAATTTTAAGTACTTTTACTTTATACCAAATTCTTAGAGGGAACTTACATTCTTATGACCAGACTAATTGAAATAACAGCACTAATGTCTGAATTTTGTAAGTCTTGCAGCTCATTTAATTAACATTTGGCAAAACTCTCAGAAAGTGATACAAATATTAAAAGATAGTGACAAATACAAAATCAATCAAGATACAAGGTCTGATTAATAAGTATTGGGACTGTTGCTATGGTAATGGAGCTAAAGTACACCGAGTGAAGTCGTTTGGCACAGATTGATCATGAATTGTCACACATGCACACTAAGTTATAATGTTCTCACTCACTTCATTTTTTTATAATAATGCTTGGAAGGGACGTGTATAGCATGTGGTTGTCTCACTACACCAGACCATGGCAGAGAAAATTGAGCAGAGAATCTGCATCAAATTTTGCCAAAAGCTTGGTGATACCTAAACAAAGTTGCAGAAGCTGTATCAAGAGGAGTGTATGAGCCAGATACAAGTGTATGAGTGGCTCAAATGTTTGCAAGATCGCTGACAAAACATTGACAGTGATGCACATTCTAGTAGACCTGCAACCAGAAATGATGAAAACATCACAGGTGTTTGTGTGCATGTAGTTATTCAGAAAGACGATCAAATCACCATACTGAGTTGTTGGAGAATGTGAACATTAGTTACAGTTCAGTGAAGATTTGGGTAGGAGATGTGGGTCTTCCAAGTTTGTACCAAAACTGCTTTCAGTTGACCAAAAAGAGTTTTAGCTGCACAGAATCTTATTTGTGTGAAGGAAGATGAAAACGGTCCTAACAGATGACAAATCGTGGACCTATGGCTATGACTCCGAAACCAAGGCTCAGTATTTGCAGTGGAAGATCCCAACCTCTCAGAGACTGAAGAAAACACGAATGAGTCAAAGCAATGTGAAAACATTTTTGACAGTTTTCTTCAACTACAAGGGCATTGTTCATCATGAGCATGCTCCACCAGGTCAGGCAGTAAACAAGGAGTACTACCATGATGTTGCAGGATACAGTGCATCTGAAAATGACAGAATTGCATGTGTCTGGTAAGTGGCAACTCCATGACAATGCACTTGCCCATTCAGTGCAGCAGTTTCTGGCCAAGCACAACATTATCCAAGTCCAACAACCACCATATTCCTCAGATCTCACCCCTTGTGACTTTTCTCTTAACAAAAATCCCACGATGTCAAAGAAATCTAAGAGAATGTGACAAAGTGGTCGCTCACTATCCCCAAAAAAGGAATCCTAAGAATGCTTCCATCAATAAGACAGCATTAGATAAAGTGTGTGGCTTCAGAAGGGGACTACTTTGAAGGAGATTAAATGCTAAATTGTTAGGTGTTATAGTTTTCTTTTTATAGCACCAGTCCAGTTAAAAAAAAAAAAAAAAGACCTCATGTTCAAAGAGTTGGATGAATTATTAATCTTTGAAATGTACAAAAGACAGATTGTATATAAACAAGAATTACAAATAAATTCACATCAAATGAACTATGAACATTTTTTTTAATAGAGGTCTGCTCTATGGTTGTATTGAGCGCTTTTGTTAGTTAGTTGTTTACTCGTATTGGGGTTTTTTCTTTGGGCTTCAGACCTGCATCTGTGCGATTTTTTTGTCAGCAGAAGTTCATGTTTGTAGCTCTTTCTTTTTTTAAACCCCCCCCGGAAATTGATTTGATTATTAGCAAATCAAAAATTCGAGGGTTTTTCGAAACGAGTCATAATTAGACTGATTTAAAAAAACCCTAATATATATATATATATATATATATATATATATATATATATATATATAAAAAAAAAAAAACACAAACCTCACTGCTGTCAGAAGTACCAAGGACCTGACAGAACATTGGTACAATGTCATGGTTTTTAAAGAGCACCTTCATTTGTTCTGAAGCCTGGAAAAGAAAGGTTTTAAATAAAAAAGTATAGCTCTTAAAAGGAATGAGATTTGTTTTTCTTGCATGTCAATATGCTTCATACAGTAACCGTATTTTGTAAACAAGACTGTCAAGTAACAATAGAAAATTAATTACTTTCACAAACATGGAATAAAAGGCAAAACATGAAAATTAAATCAACTGATTATATAAAAATAAAAAATATTAAAAATGAATAACAATGCAATGTTTCATTTAAGAAATTCAAACAACTAAGGACTACTACTTTTACTTTTAAAAATACAAAGAAAAAAAATGCAGTTATATTTTGTGCTTATACAAGTTAAAAAAATTAATTATTATAGCATATTATATGAATATGATTTGAAGAACAAAATGTTTACAATTATGAAATGTAACGAAAAGTTTTCTACCTTACCCATTTCCCAAAAATCTAACCAAATAATCAAATTTCTGTCTGAATTTCTGGGATGAGGAGTTACACGTGGAATATTATCCCCATCTCTTGTTGTCACAATATTTCAGCTGTTGTTCCCTTCAGCCTTAATCAGGTGATTGTCAATCCAGGTAACATTCAGAGAATTTCAAAATGAATCATATTTAATTTGCAGAGGTCGATGGTTCTCATTCCGCTATCAATGTCCAGATTATTGTCTCATGAACTAAAGTATTGGTACATGAATTCAGTGACACAGTAATTGCAAGTTCAATCCCTGGACCAGGTAGGGTGTACATGGACTCAGTGGAATAAAGGTGAGCAATAACTGAGCAGTATTGAATAAGACCCAGGCATAATATCCAGGGACATGACCGCAGAATGAGAACAATCAACCCCCACATAGATAAAAAATTGGTTTGCTTTGAAATTACCTGGATCAACAATCACTTTATGAAAGTCAGAGAGTGTAATGGTCAAAACATTGTGATAAAGACAGTAGCAATAGTATAAATGTAAATAAACAAAAATTTCAGAATTTTTTTTTAAGGTAATCTCTTGGCCAAACCAGATTTTAGGAGATTCCAAGAAATTCTTTTTTGTAAGGCTTAATGTTTCTGTTACTTATAAGGACAAGTCCAAAAAGAATTTAGATCATTAAATTGTTTTGATCAAACAGGACCCCCAGTTACAGAGAATATGCCATGAATTGTGAAATAAAAAAATGCAATAAAAACAAAGACTTTATTTAATTAGAATTGCTTTTATGAATAAAATATTACAGACAGTACAGTCTTAAGAAAAAGATTTTTTCGATGAATAATGAATTTTTACAAGAATTATTTTCACTTTTTAAAAATTTTTCTTTTAATAATTTATAAAGTTTAAATCTTAAAATTCTGCATTAATTTGTAGCAGTGAGATATTAAGTAAAAACTATATTTACTAATCATAAATAGAAAAAGCTTACTGCAATTCAGCAACCCACAGTCTTAAAACAAATTAAATTTTTCTGTATAGAAATGTGCTGATTTTTGTAAATGCATACATCCATTCATGATGTCAAAAAAATAAGAGCAGTAACTATAGTAAACTTAAAAATCTATTGATAATTTTCTAACATTTCTTCAACAAGTGTCTTTGTAAGTAAAATTATAAAACCAAGTAACTAAACTTCAATATTAGAAAGTTTAAAATAGTTTAAAAATTACTGGATAGTTATTAAAAAATTATCTGGGGAAAAAAAAAAAAAACAAGACTAAGGCATTTAATTAGAGTAGCTTTCAATTGCTTTTATAAATTATATATTAAAAATATTGTCTAGAAAAAAAATTTTTTTTCCACAAAAAATGAATTTTTACAAGATTAGTTTTCATTTTTTTTTTTTACAATTTCAAATTGAATAATTTACAAAATTCTTAAATCTTTTAAAATTCGTTTTCAATGAGATAATTCTTAGGAAATATTGTTATAAAGTAAAGCTATATTTACTAATCAGATATTGTAAAGCTTATTATAGGTATGTTCAAAATTTCGCTAAAAAAAAAAAAAAAAGAGCCTGCCCTGGTGAAAAAAAAGGGACCCAAACTTGATTATACAGTTTTTTTTATCATCTAAATGTTTATGTTATTAAGAGGAAAGACCAAAGTATTTTTTGAATATTTTAAAAAAAAATTTTTTAATCCATTCTAGCACATCCAAAACTTCAGCTAAAAATCTTTTTTTTTTTTTTTGAATCATCAAAATTGACGTAAAAATCAATCATTTCATCCATTATTGACAGTTTTGTAAACAATTCTCCATTTAAAAAAATCTTGTAAAATTCAATTTTACTTTTTGCAAAAGTTATTTTAGGAAAATTAGAAAATTTAAAGTATACTCAATGTAATTTTAAACAAACATTACTTAATTTTTAGCAGAAAAAATTTAGTTGGAAATAAGAGAAGCATGTCTAACAGTGGTGATTGGTCTTGGAGGTGTGAATTGACATTTACATCAATGTATCGACAACTAACGTTAAGGCAATTTATCGGATGGAAGGGTAGAAGTGACACTAGTTTAATTTTTAAGTGAACCAGCTTATTTAAACTATAACGTAATTCTTAAAAATTAAATAATTTCAAGAGTTTAGTATTTATAGGTTTCTTTTAAGTACTTTTTTTTTTTTAACAAAGATATACTCAAATACTGCATCGTTTCTGTCCCTAAAATTGAATCTAAAAAAGAAAAATTAATTGCAGTATATCTTTCACTGTAAAAGAAAAAAAATTATATTAAAAAAAAAAAAAAATTTGAAAAATGCAATGATGGTTGGTCGGTCAGTCGGAATTTAACATGCTATCAGAAGAAACAACTGAAGCACACACACATTATTTCAGAATCATGCTTTGTAGTTTCACTGAGAGTGTTTTAATACATTTTTTCATATATTAAAAAATTATTATACAATACAGTTTCACAGACTGTAATAAGCTTTCAAATTTAAGATCTGTAAAAAGTAGGTCTTTTACTAAAAGCATTTCCTGAGACACACTGCTTCAAATTTAATTTGGAAATATTTAACAACTTTATCACATTTTGCAAAAAAAAAAAAAAAAAATTAATGTAAAAATTCATTTTTCATGGGGGGGGGGAATGGCTTCAGATAAAAATGTCCTTAATATAGATTATTCAGAAAAGCCATTATATAGTGTATTAGTTTTATTGGGTTTTGTATTTTACAGAGCTGAAGCTTAGGTAGAATAGTTAATCTATTTACAAAAAAAAAAAAAAAAAAAACCATGTTATGTTCTTCAAAGTCTTCTGCATTAAATAAAAACAAATAAGTGAAATTTAGTTTGGGATTTTAAAATTTTCATAAAATTAAGTGGTGGGGTAACAAATGTAAAAACATTTCTAAAATAATTTCATTCATTTTTTAATAAGCTCTTAAAGTTTCATTAAAATCTGATAATTATTTGATATTTGCAAGAATTTCCAAATTAATGCATTTTTCAACTAGAAAAAAAAAAATAATACGAATGCTAAATATTACACGACCAAAGTTTCAAACATGCTAGAAAAGAATAAAAAGTTAAAAAACAATAAAATAATAATAAAAAATACTTTGGTCTTCTTTCCTCTTATTAATAAGAAACTTTTCCACGATAAAACAGTTTTTAAGTTGGTTTTTTTTTTCATCATGCTATGCTGTTTTTTCATCGAATTATTGAAAATGCCGAGCTTATTACAACCTGATGAACCAGAATATTTTTAAAAGCATTTCTATTTGTGTGATTACATGCAGAATTTCTGAAGTATGGGTGTACAAACCGATAAATGTAGCATTTAAAAGGTCAGCTGTCTTAAAGTTTGTCCCCCTTACGGCAAAAAGAAAAAGAAAAAATACCATACTTAACCATGAACAAGTTTGGCTGTCAACTGGATGTGAATAAGTTGATTAACATATCAGAAAAACAAGAGCCCATAGTTAAAAAATGTTTGTATAAAACATTTTATACTACAGGTAATATTTGTTTCAAATCAGATTAATTTATATTTAAAATTTGTTAAATTTTCCTCAAATAATAGTTCAGAAATATATTTTACTTTTTGCAAGATTCTTAAAAGCAAGAATTGACTTTTGTCAAAGGTGTTAAGAAATCAAAAAAAGAAAAATCTGATCAACATAATTTCTGTTTGAAATACACCGCAGTATTTTCCTTACTGGAAATAGTAAATTTTAAATCTTTTAACTTTCAATTAAAGCTAAAATGAAAGCTTCAAGAAAGCCTTTTCCTTTTAAACCTTACATATACTGAATTAGTAGAGGTACCCAATTATTTAAAATGCATTTTTAGGAAGTCCTTGGCAGTACCTAATAATTAACCAGTCTTCACATGTGTGCCATTAAACAATGTTTGGTTAACTTTTCTATGAATTTTGCTAGTAACATTTAATTAATTGAAATTGTGATTAAAAAATATTATAAAAGTACAAAATCTTTAATAAATCAGAAACATGTAGAAGATTCAAGAACAGCAAAAAACAAGTACTCATTCTGCCTTTAATATGTGCAATAACATTACTGATATTCTGATAATTAAAAAAGCTAACATTTAATTCATATTTTTCAAACTTTATTTCAATGAATGATAAAAATGATTAACATTTCAAATGATTTCTACACCTCAAGTGTTGATTTATCTCCCTTACATTTCACTTTTTTCTTTTTTTCTAAAAACTTCATATTTTGAACTTTTGCATTTGAATCAGGATGGTGGCAATTAAATTGACTATGAATTTTGTAAATGCTAGAATGTCTCTTACAAAACTCCATAGCACTGACCAAAAACATAGGGGTCAACATAGATTGCACATGCAATAATTTTATTTTGCATAATAACTAGGAATAGCATCATAACACTTTTTACTTAAATTTTAAAATTCATGCTTGCATTCAAAATGTTGACTATTTTTCCAGAAAGAAAAAACATCCACATATTTTATTTAATTTACAATGGAAAGATATATTTTTTGCTAATAACAAGTTTGTAAAAGCAAGAAAACCTGTTTTGATTTT